GTAAGCCTAAGAAATGGGGAAGTTTGCAATAATTCTGCCTAATAACCTAGAAGGTAAACTGGAAGAGGAATTTGGCCAGGACTTTTCAATGAAGAAATATATGACAGCTGACACAGATTATATAAATTTTATATTTCTTAGGGTTCTCTTGTATAATTTGTAGAATTTATGGTGGTACAACTAGCATTGTTAGCCTGATTTTCAACTTTTTAATATAATTTTGTGATAAGCATGTTGATACTTTAAAGAATATATCCAGTAGTTGTTTTAAAGACTCACTCAAAGTAGAGTCTCCTGCCACTTAGCCAAGGATTCAGTTGCTGTTCCAATAATCTAAGAGATAAAAGGAACTTGATACCAGAGATGGAATGTTCCAGATGCCATTGACATGAAAGCCAAGCCAGGTAGATCATCCACCAGAAACTTCCCATTTGTACAATTTACCTTAACACATCCCTGTAAGGGTCAGTTCTTTCACTTGGATTTAGGATTTAGGTTGTCTGTTCTGGTATAATTTGGAGCTCAGAAAAACTCTCAGTGTGTGAGAATGCATATTAGATCCATTATGTAGTGTCTGTGAATGGAGTAGGCAGTGACATGTTATGTATGAACACAGAGCCAAGAAAGTGGGCAGCGCGACAGTGGTCTTCCCAGCGCCTATTGATCTATGTTGCTCTGGATCTTCATGTAACAGTGAAGGCAGCTTCTGCTTTATGATCCAGCAAGTACTTCACTTAGCACCAAGGTGGATTTCAGCCCCAGTAGTATCATCGCCAAAATGTAGAGGCTCTTTGATCTTTCCTTGTCTTAGCATTTGGGAGATCTGTAATATATCAGATTCTCTGATATTTCCGTTTTTGCTACTTGAAGTTTAAGGTATGTTGGACACAGATAATGAAATTATGACTAATATGCAGATCTTGAGAACCCTTTATCCAGAGCCCAGAGGCAAGCAGTGGTTTGAGTCTATACTAATAGGAAGACAGGACCAAGTGTCTTATGATTTATCTGGCTTGGAAGTGTATCAGTTACATTAATAGGAGGGAGGCTTTTAATGTATCACTGTTAATGGTTGTTGGCAAATCATTGTTGGCAAATATAAAAATAGACTTCTTTGCCCTGACAGTAGTGTTTCATGAGAAGATAAGTCTTGTTGCGAATATTTTTGAGTGAAAGTCTTTGTTCAACAAAGCTCATCTGAGTACATATACATACTTGTCCCTTGATATAAATGATTAGTCACAATGGACCTTAGCGTACTTTGGCATCTTTTCTTGCGTTTTTCAGCAGGCACATATGAGCACCTATCATGTGTCTATGGAGCAGATACTGTTATAAGATGGAGCAGATGTGGACACTGCCCTCAAAGAGCATCCAGTCTTGGAAGGAGAAAACGTGTCAAATTTGATCAGGTTAGACAAAAGAAATGATAGCAATGGGAAAGTCAGAGGATAGGAGAGATTTAGACTTTGGGGATGAGAGGAAACATATAGAATTGTAAGAAGCTCCATTTGATTAAAGATTTCAAGGGAATCATGGAAAATGAAGTTGGAAAACTGGCTGGAGTTAGGGTTGTATAATGGAGGTCCTAAAATGTTAGGACAAGAAACTGGGATTTTCCTGTTTTCCTAGTTTCATGATTATCTTAGGCATTTAAGCTGAAGTCTGATTACGATACCATTAATAAAGAACAAACTGATCTTTTTGGCAATATGTTGGGGAATGAAACATTCTGTTTATTCAACTGCAGCATTTAAGATATGAGTCAGAATTAGATTTTTAGGCCAAAAATTCTCAACAGAGGTCACCCCAAGTGCATGTGACCTTACCACTCAGGAAAACCAGTTACAGTGTATAGTGCACACTTGTTTTGGCAATGTTAGGCTCTACATTTGACAGGCATTGCTTTAGCCAGGTGATGACACTGACGCTATTGCCTACAATTGCATTTCTTTGGCAAACAGAATACCATGCAGTTTGAATGCCTGAAATCTTTCTTCCTAGTCCTTCTCAGTATTTTTCCTTTGGATTGGGCACATTGTCAGCTATAAGGAGGGCACTGATTTACTGCCTAGGAAGAGCAGCCTGGCTTTTCTCTAGTCGAAGGATTTGTGTGAGGGTACCTGTGGTGTGCCTTGGGAATATTCTGAGTTGACATTTTTAGCTATTCAAGGGTTTTAGAAGACTTTTATCAGATAAAACACTTCATTTGATACAAATCTTAGTGAAGAGAGGCTTTTATAGTTGGATTCTCTAGCTAAATCACTCAGTTAACTGAAGCTTGATGGCATGTTGGAGGAGAGAATGATAGGGAAAGAGGAAATTGTGAAAAAGGAGCAGTAGTTTTCAGTTTGATACAAGGTTGGTGATATCATTCATTAGGAAATACAAAAGAGGAAGTTATGATGATAAGAAGAAAATGGGCTTAATTTTGCCCACGGCCATGGTTGGAAATGCAGCCTGGTAAAGATGGAGTGATTCGCAACTGGTAGGTTGATCTACCTGTATGTAAGACAAGGCCTCTGACAAGGGGCCAAGAAGAAGAAATAGGCAAAGGAAGAGGACAGATAAATTTGATTTGGGGAAAAGAGTCTCAAATAGCAACATCCTAGCATTACTTCTGGTATGCCTGACCATCCTGAACTCATTTAACACATTAATCCTCAAACAACTCCATGAAGAAAACACTGTGTGTGTGTTCGTACTAGGGCTCGAACTCAAGGCCTCATGCTCTTGCGTGGCTTTTTCATGCTCTACCACTGGAGGCACATCATCACTTCTGGCTTTTTGCTGGTTAATTGGAGACAAGAGTCTCATGAATTTGTTTGCTTGGGCTGGCTTTTAACTTGATTCCCAGATCTCAGCCTCCCAAGTAGCAAGGATTATAAGTGTAAGTCACTAGTGTCCAGCCTAAAGCTACATTGTATGGATGAGGACCCTGACACACAGAGAGGTCACTGTGCTAGTCAGTCATCTGCAGCAATAAATTAGGTGCAGCATCATTATGAAGATGTAGTTAAGATACTGTTTTAGTCACAACTCTATTTAAATATAGCTTTGATGATCCTATTCCTGACTTTTTCCTCTGCTATACTAAGTAAATACAGGATGTTCTTTAGAATTTATGAAGGAAATAGGATCTGAGTCTTTCATAAATTTTGAAATTACCTGGCTCTCTCTTGCACAAATATTCGGTTACAGTTCATCCATTTCTTAAACATATTTTATGTAATAGGTTAAGCTTTCCCAGAGTATTGTCCCAACTAATGAACATTTGGGCATTCATTAAAATGCTTCCTGAATTGGTTTCCTGAGTCACTTTTTAACGCTTTCACATAGAATATATGCTAGTTCACTCCATGATTATCTTAGACACCAAATACTGCATTCTCTATTCTCCTTGCACATTAAGTCACTTCTTTAGAGCATTTTCATTTTGTTTGTGCCTTTATCACTCCACTAACAATAGAAATTTTCTTTGGAGCCCATTTTTTTTTCTCAGTTGCATTTTTTAAAAACAGGTTATGGCCCTATCTTAGGGTTCATTTCACTTAGCATCATCTTTTTCTTTTCTTTTTGGTCGGTCATGAACCTGAACTCTGGGCCTGGGTGCTGTCCCTCAGCTCTTCAGCTTAAGGCTAGCACTCAACCACTTGAGCCACAGTACCACTCCCGGCTTTTTCTGCTTATGTGGTATTGAGGAATCGACCCCAGGGCCTCATGCATGCAAGGCAGGCACTCTACCACAGAGCCACCTTCCCAGCCCCTCCTTTGCATTTTTTTACTTAGAGAGGTGGGGTAAAGAACAATGAAAATCACCTCCAAGTTGCCTAAGCTATCTACTAGATAGGGGTCAGCAAACTATCATTCACATATTCTAGACACTGTGTAGCCCAGGTAGACCTCAAACTTATGTGCTTCTCCTGTCTCAGCCTCCTGAGCCACTGGGATTACAAGTATATACCACCATGCCCATTTGGTTGAGCCACATTTTGTAAACAAAAGTTAAATGGCACCCTGCCAGCCATGCTTTTACAGTTACTTGGTATCTGTGGCTGCTATCTCTACAAAAGCAAAGTTGCATAGTTACATGAAACACAACCTAAAATATTTACTGTTTGGAACTTTACAGAGATTTTTTTTTTTTTTTTTTTGCTGAGTAGCACTGTAGTTTACTACTTTTAGAAGATTAGGCTATATCCTAAGTATGTTTAGAGTGTTTTAGAGTTAATGGGGTTCTATGTTTTTATTTCATTCAACTAGGAAATAGAACTGTTGAGTGGCTTTGGTAATGCTGCTTCTTGGGATGTAAGAGTTGCAAAAGAGAATGATGAAATTATGAAACTGTAGGCTCATTTAAGTAGTCTGTCAGCAGAATTCTTACCTGCAGAATCAGTTATGTGAATGTTTTGAAGAGTAATGTGAAAAGAAAAAAAATCATTGTAATGCTTAGTAGTTGCCAGGTCTTTCCTGTGCTTGGACTTTGGAGAAATATTTTCCCACCATCAGAGAATATGCATCAGCTCCAGCTAAGTTAGATGCAAACAAAAAAATCTGAGAAAATTGGCTAGATTGTGGAAATATAACAGCTTGAAAAACATATGTTTTGTGTTCAGTAAGTTATTTTAAGTATACTAGTGTGGTTTCTATAGTCAGCCCACCTGGATTTATCCTTGAATTCCAGATCTGCAGATTCAACCAGCCAAGGAGTGGGAGAAAAAAACAAACTGACAGATTTTTTTCTTGTCATTATTCCATAAATAATTCAGTATGTTATTCACATAGTCTTTTCATTGTATTGAGTATTAAAAATCATCTAGACATAATTGAAACTATATGAGAGGGAGTACCTAGATTTTATGTAATTACTATGTTAATTTAGAGGAGGGACTTGAGCACTTTTAGATTTTGGTATTGGAGGTTGTGTTTCTGGAATAAATAAATAAAATAGATACTGAGGGACAATTCTCTCTTATTTTCCCTGGATCATGTTTCAGAAAATAAAGAAGAATGTGTTCCATTACCCACTGATTATTTTGACAAGAGAAGAAATCAGTGAGGCTGTACAGCTCCAATCTACCTGTCAAATGTAAGTTCTTCCTTTCTCCTTCCAGATGCCCAAGTTCCCAGGTAGCTACCCCTCCCCTCAGGGCTGCTTATGTGGTCTTTAGAAGCTGGCTCTTGTTAATCCCCTCCTTTATTCTGCAGTTAGTTCTCTGCCTCCCTAACGTGTGATCATGGGACACCTGTTCTGAAAAGCTCACATGGCGAAATGCATTAAAGACATTCCATAGTTCCAGAACACCTCTGTGCAATCCCTTTCATCATTCCCCCTTTTTTGTACTTTAAGTTCTGAGTAGTATACCTACAGACTACCCTTTCCCAGCTCTTGATGTTCATACCTTTCTCACTCTGCCTACTTTGTGAACAACTTCTGATCTACTTTCTTACCAAGCTACAAATTCTAAGCTAGAACTCATATTTCATGCTGGGGATATCCACAGCATATTTCCTACTTTTGTAACTTAAAAATATACTATTCACTGTTTTTTACCCTTTTATCTGTGGCTAATGGAAGAAGCTTTATTACACTTAAAGGTCTGCTTTATTCTGAGCTTTTGATGTTTATTGTAATAATTATGTATTTGTATCAATCAAGTAGCATTTAATGGCAGATATGAAAACTTTGATGTGTTATTTTAGATGGTGAATCTTAACTTCTCTGATGAGATCAGTTAGATTTCAAGAAAGTCACAGCAGTTGTTAGGTAGCCCTGACTGGAGCTTGTATTTGTTATCTTCAGCTAATACAGCCTGCTTCCATAGAAATTTACTGTGCTGTAGCACTAAAATATATCCTCTAAGGATTTAGATACAGTGTAGAAGAAATCCTCAACATACTTAGGATTCTCACAGGATAGGGAGTAATAAATTTCTAGTCAAGATACTGCTGCTAGTCTGGGCATAGTGCCACAGTCATGTAATCCCAGGTAAGTGAGAGGTGGAGACAGGAAGATTGTAGGTTGAGGCAAAAATGTGTGTGTGTGTGTGTGTGTGTGTGTGTGTGTGTGTGTGTGTGTGAACAAATACAAAACAAAACTACTTGGAAGACAGAACTAGGAGGATCACAGTCTGAGGCTGACCCTTGGCAAAATAGAAGATCTTACCTGAACAATAAACTAAAACAGAAAGGGCTGAAGGCATGGTTCTAGTGGTAGCACTTACTTGCCTGGCAAGTTTAAGGCCCCAAAATTAAACTCCATTATCATAAAAAAAATAAACCTAACAAAAACCACTGTTACCAATGAAAGAACACAGTGGTTTTGTTCAGCCTATAAACTTTAGTGGTAACAATATGCAAAACGGGCATAATAGTGAACAAGTTGTGTCTTGGACTACTGTTCACTAAAAAAGTATGACAAGATATTTAATCGTAGCCTAAAGTATTGAGATCATTCCTTCTGTATGGAAATAAAATCATTGTATACGAACACACACACAGAGAACAGTTTGGCATGTTTTCCTTGCTTGTTTTTTTATTGTGAAATAGGCTTCGCTAAGTAGATGACTAACTTTGTGCAAATTCTCTTTGGTTATTTTAGTTGTCTTTATTGTTTTAAGAGACTTCATTTGATAGAGCAGTAGAGCTGGCTTTGTCTTGTCTTTATTTTGCATTCCATGCATTTAGTTAATAGCGATGAGGCACAGCCTGGGATAGAATTCATCCCAGTGTCTGATGGGCTGGAATAGGAGAGGAGGGGAACATGGGGAGAACGCACTAAGTGAGAACATGCTGTATGGTGGGCAAAATTCAGGCTGTGGGAGGATTAGTCATAGGACTTAGAGGGAAATTTCTATTGCAGTGATAATGGATCATTTGCTTCCTGAATGAGACATTCCAGAGGAACCATTGCCAAGTCACTCTACTGATTGAAACTTTCCAGAGATTCCTGCTTGAGTGTTGTTTGGTGTGGGAGACTATTGAAATCAATCTTTCCTGCCTTTTTAGCTTCTAGTTTATTGTTGTCTTAAATGAGCCCCCCCCATCTTTTTTGCTTTTCAGAGGATAAAGTGAAATTGTAGTTCCTTTTGTCAGTGTGTCATGATCAAAACCAGATATACTGTAAAAAAAAAAGAGCATCAGCATTGTTCATGCTGTAAGAACAAAACAACCTCTTCTCTTCTGTAAATTCATTTCTTGAGCTTTCAGAATTAATCTTCAACACGTGTTGTCACAAAGAGTAATCTGGCTTGAACTTTATAAGCTGATCACCTTTGGACTTCTGCCTTGACTGCAGTTTGTGTGTAAGATAAAACAAGGGCCCTGTCTAGTTCCTTCTTTTTTGAGACAGAGTCTTGCTACGTCACCTGGGCTGGTCTTGAACTCCCATCTTCAGCCTCTGCCTCCTGAGTATTGGGATTACAAGTCTGTGCACCACCATGTTTTACTTTGTGTAGCTTTCTAATGAAATAAGTTTAAAAAAAGGGAAGTGGAAAAGTGCTTCTTGGGCACAGGTCTGACTTACATGGTCTATGAAGACACACAAAGTATGTGTGATGGGTAGGATGTGGACAAGGAACATTCCTCAGTGGGCAGACTTCTCTTCCCCTGGGCCTCTAGTATGAAGAATAGAAGGGAGGAGAGGGAACTCTAGTGGCCTCCCATGATTCTCTATTCTCCTTTACATTTCTACTTCTTGTTTTCAGTGGTAGGAAGTTGTAGAGAATGACTCACATAAAGGAAAGGGGGTGGAAATGTGCAAAAAGAACTACAGTTCAGATTAGGGACTCTAGCTACACTTTTTCCTTTTCTTCAGTGCTCTCTCCTCTGAGGAGCATGAATGGTGGTTAGGAGACAATTAGTTCCTTTTGTTTTTAATTATATGAGATTAAAAGTCATAGATTGAATCGTGTACAAAGAATAAAAAGATATAATACTGAGCTTACAAAAATAATCTTTGCCAGACATAGGTGGCTCACACCTGTAATCCTAGCTACTTAGGAGGTTGAAGTCTAAGAATTGTGGTTCAAAGCCATCCAGGAGACTCTGATTTCCAATTAATCAACAAAAAGGCTGGAAGTGGAACTTTGGCTCAGGTGATAGAGTGTAAACCTTAAAAACAGTGCCCAAGCCCTGAGTTCAAGCCCCAGGAACAGCACAAAAATTATAAATAATCTTGATGGAAACTAACTTTAGTTATTCTATGCCATCACCATAATTACCAATTCAACTTTATTAACTTCCGTGTACACATAATTTGGTGTGTTGAATTGTAACCTTTTGTACAAATATTTAAAGTAATAAAGAGAGTAACCAAAAATGCATGGGATTATCTCATGCCAGTAGAATTTTTTAAGTTTAATATGTTAATGGGCCTGGAAGAAATACTTTTTAGTGGAAAGAGCAATCTAGGCTCAGAGTGCTAGGAACACACACATTTTGCTATTTCAGTAAGGCCTAATCTTTCCCAGTGTGTGCTGGGGTAGGGGGTCATTTGAAAAAATAATCAAATGTGAGAGTAATTTTTAAAGTTACATTGTGAATGAGTGAGCTTGATAAATTGCGTGAGTTGTAGAACTAAACTAGTAGCTAATATTGCCTCTAGTTTGGGTAATTTCTTATGTTTTTTTTTTCTTAAAGTGCACATGCTTATTTTCTTGTATTATTACTTTGATTTCTAAGAAATAATGTCATGTTGAAAACAGCCAGTTTTCTGGGCTAAGGAGTTTTGTCTAGGAGTTTGTAACACTTCTACTCTTTTTTTTTTTTGGGTCTGGTCGTGGGGCCTGAACTCTGGGCCTGGGTCAGCTCTTCAGCTCAAGGCTAGCGCTCTACCACTTGAGCCACAGCGCCACTTCTGGCTTTTTTCTTTTTGCTTATGTGGTGCTGAGGAATCAAACCCAGGGCCTCAGGCATGCAAGGCAAGCACTCTACCACTGAGCCACCTTCCCAGCCCACACTTCTACTCTTGTAGAAAGAAGCCTATAATAGTCTGCAGAGCAGTCAGAATAACATATTTATGTGACACAAAATGTGCACACATGATGAGATCACTTCTTGTGTACTGCTACTAAAAGCCCTGTTTGAGATTTACATTTCACTGGAGGGCTAAACTTAGTGCTAGAAAATGTATTTTGACCTCCCTTGGAAAATATTTGCTGTATCATTTGAAAGTTTCTCATTCCAGACTCTTGATAAAATAATAAGCCACGGTACTGGACTACTGAAGAATTCAGTGGTCCCCTCTTTACAGTTATATAAGATTGAGCCAACGAAATAAACAGCTGAGACACCTTCCGGCATGAACTTTCTCTTCCAAAACTGGATTGGCAAGAATTTGTTTGGCCATGGACAGTTCTATGGAGTTGTATTATATGACTGTAATCTCTCTTTTATTTTCAGGTTTTGCATCTTTCTGGGAAAACAGCAAAAGAAAGAAGTTAATGAGCTATTGTGTAATTTACCCAGATCGCCTAGCAGTGGCAGCAGACCAGGTAGACTGTCCCAAGGAGAAAAACTGCAGACACCTGAGCATAAACCAGTATAAAACAGCTCTGACCTGACAGCTAACACAAAAGACTTTGACTCTGAGGTACAAGGTGAGTTTGAACATCACAAGCTTACAATCAAAAGCAGAATTAGATTAGGCAGTGCCCAATGATAGCAGATTAGTGACATATTAACAGGTCATGGGAAGTTATGCTTCTATCTTCTATTTGTGTACCAGATATTAAAAGAATGTACCATAATCCAAGTTCACTTGCTAGGCGGTGGTGGCTTATACCTATAATATTCACTACTCAGGAGGCTGAGGTCTGAGGATCGCATTTCAAAGCCAGCCGGGGCAGGAAAGTCCATGAGACTGTTATCTCCAGTTAACCACCAGAAAACCAGAAGTGGTGCTGTGGCTCAAGTGGTAGATCACTAGCCTTGAGCTGAAAAGCCCAGGGACGGTGCCCAGAGTTCAAGGCCCACAACCGACAAAAAAAAAAAAAAAAAGTTCTCTTGTGTTTTTTAAGTATAGGAATTAGAATATTTAACTTTTTAAAATTACATGTCTGCAGTCTAGTGGTATATGAAAATAAAGCTTTACACTTCCTGCTTTGAGTAACAAAAACCTAAACCTAAAAATGGCTAAATGGTTTTACTTTGTTTCTTTATACATACGTCCTCCACATGGGCAGGCATAAAAACACACTTTGAAAATGCATTTGGCTTTATAATCAATTATAATAAATCAATATTCTCTTTGCCCATGCAACTGAAATGTGTAGTACTGGCGGTACTGTGGTGTACCTGTTACTCTGTTTGGTCTTCACAGCGTCACACTCCTCCTAGTTATCCAAAACTTCACACCTTTTTAAATTGTTTGAATGTATTTCTTGTTTGGTGCCTGTACTGGGGCTTGAACTAAGGGCCTAAGAACTATCTCTAAGCTTTTTCACTCAAGTCTAGCCACTTGAGTCACAGCTCAGTTAACTGGAGATAGGAGTCTCACAGACTTTCCTGCCTGGACTGGCTTCGAATGTGATCCTTCGATCTCAGCCTCCTAAGTAGCTAGGATCACAAGCATGTGCCACCAGTGCCCAACTCGGTGCTGTTCTTTGTGTACACGTGTGTATATAGTTTCTTGGTTGTGAGCAGGCCTGCTCTTGTGCCAGTACCAAGATGTTTGAGTAGTATGGCTTTGTACTAGAGTTTGAGGTTCAGTATTGAAACAAGAGGTTCTCATTAGACCTTGTATATAGTTCATTCTTTTTTCAGCAGAACTATTGATGAACCACAGCAACATTGATACTCACTTGACACTATGATGGATATGAATATTACAACTTGGGAGGAGGGTGGGGAGGGGTAGGTGGAAGATAAAGAGGGATGGGGTAACTGAATAAAAACAAATGTAGTATTGCCTTACCTATATTACTGTAACTCCTCAGCTCACTACCTTTTCAATTAACAAAAAAAAGATTTTTTTAAAAAAAGGATGTTCACCTCATAATTGGTACTGGCACAAGAGCAGGCCTGCTTACAACCAAGAAACTATATACACATGTGTACACAAAGAAAAGTACTGAGCTGTGCACTGGTGGCACATGCTTGTGATCCTAGCTACTTAGGAGGCTGAGATCGAAGGATCACATTCGAAGCCAGTCCAGGCAGGAAAGTCTGTGAGACTCCTATCTCCAGTTAACTGAGCTGTGACTCAAGTGGCTAGACTTGAGTGAAAAAGCTTAGGGATAGTTCTTAGGCCCTTTATCATCACAACATCTACCTGAGGGGTAGTAACCCAATTGGCTGTTTTGGTTTTGGGGAGGTAAAACTGATTATCATCAGATTGACTTCTTTTGGAGTGCACAGCTGTAGATATTTAAAGTCCATTTTCCAGCCCCTCACTGTCCCATGTACAGAACTTTCCTCAGATTTAGATGAACCTTCAATAAAACTTCACAGTGGGTTTTCACTGCAGTTCTTTCTCTGTTTTCTATCACTCTATCTTTTGAATTGAAATGTATTTGGTAATGTGCTTGATAATTTGATATCAACCAAATTATTTTTTTTTTGGTCTGGTCGTGGGACCTGAACTCTGGGCCTGGGTGCTGTCCCTCAGCTCTTCAGCTCAAGGCTAGCGCTCTACCACTTGAGCCACAGCTCCACTTCCGGCTTTTTGCTTATGTGGTGCTGAGGAATCGAACCCAGGGCCTCAGGCATGCAAGGCAAGCACTCTACCACTGAGCCACCTTCCCAGCCCGATATCTTAATTTTTTTTTTTTTTGGTTGGCCGTGGGGCTTGAACTCTGGGCCTGGGCGCTGTCCCTCAGCTCTTCAGCTCAAGGCGAGTGCTCTACCACTTGAGCTACAGCGCCACTTTCAACCAAATTTTTATATGTGAGTAATGTACTTTAACATGGAAGCATTTCAAATCTCCGCATCCTCATGGACACAGCACTTCTCTGTATGTATTAGCTAAACTTAAATGTGGGAAACTCACATGCTCACCACAAAACACGTGGCTATTTACTTCATTCTTTTACTCTGTGTGTGTGTGTGTTGTGTGTGTGTTCGACTAAAACACATGATTTACCGAAGTTCCAAACAACCCATTTAGACTCTCACTGAGAGTGCCTATTTCTTTAACAGTTTAGGCCTCAGAGTCATTTGCTTGTTTGAGACAGGCTCTCATTATGTAGCCCAGGATTTGCTCAAACTCTTGATCCCCTCAGTTATTGAGTCTCTTATCTGGAATATTCCCCTCCCCCCACAGACACACACTTTTTTTTTTCAAGTTATTTACTTGAGGATGTTTCTTTACATCTTTAGGAAGAGTTCCCTTTTTTCATGTCTATCATTGAAACTTCATGGAATTTAATATTTGTTATGTTTTAATTAATTTCAGTTTTTGTCAATGTTTCTAGGCTTAGATAAAACCTTCTTTGACCTTGGAAAACCACTTTAAGATGGCTTTTGGGTATGTATATAGTAAAGAGAATGTATTATACTGTAATCACAGTGAACTTTGACATATTAAACACATTCATATAACCAGTTTCAGATCAAAACACAGAATATCCCAGAAGCACGCTTGTTTTATTAGTCTCTTGGATCCCATTTGTGATATGATAATAGATTGACATAAACTTCTTTCAGGTAGTTCATACTTAATATTTCTAGGATCCTTGGTTTCTTTTAGTAGGAAATGGGTTTTAAGAACTGCGGTTGGGACTGAGAAGGTGGCTTAGTGGTAGAGTGCTTGCCTTGCATGCCTGAGGCCCTGGGTTCGATTCCTCAGCACCACATAAGCAAAAAGAAAAAAGCCAGGAGTGGTGCTGTGGCTCAAGTGGTAGAGCGCTAGCCTTGAGCTGAAGAGCTGAGGGACAGCGTCCAGGCCCAGAGTTCAGGCTCCATGACGGGACCCAAAAAAAACAAAAACAAAAAACAAAGAACTGCTGTTGAGCATTAGGCGTGCTTATCCCCATAGATTTTCATTGATTTAGGCGTTTAAAAAAAACAGGATAGGAATTCATGTGGATTTTTCCACATTGATTTTTGGAGTTTTAATATTACCTGATTATATATTTATTTTCATGTTTGTATTCTCTTAATTGAGAACCTTAGTTCAAATTAACCTTATAAAATTACTTTATCCTTCAAGTATATAAAATAGACTTAAATAAATATTTTTAGCCTTAAACCATTCATTATTATTATAGCTTTATATAAAGAATGGAGTTAATGAAGAATTTTTTATTTTTTATTTTTTGTTGGTTGTGGGGCTTGAACTCTGGGCCTGGGCGCTGTCCCTCAGCTCTTCAGCTCAGGGCAAGCACTCTACCACTTGAGCTACAGTGCCACTTCTGGTTTTCTGGTGGTTTATTGGAGATAAGAGTTTCACAGACTTTTCCTGCCCGGGCTGCTTTGAACCACCATCCTCAGATCTCAGCCTCCTGAATAGCTAGGATTACAGGCGTGATATTGCCATCTTTCAGTCCTTCAAAATTTATGCATAAAGTCAGAAGATGAATTTTCCTTTAACTCCATTTTTGGTATTAATATTGATGTGTTTCTTGGTGGTGAGAGTCAGCCTGTTAAATCTGTAGTTTGCCAAGTAATTTAAGGTATTTGCAACTCACTACATCATAGGTAGGAGCTGTTCCAGGAATGACAGTGGAATTTGTGTGCTTGCTGGATGGTAGATCAGTTTGTACCACATCGAATGCATTTCTTAGTGTCCATCCTTTGTTGTGGTGCAGGCCCACAAAGAAAAAGATTAATGCTTCAAGTCAAGCACAGAGCCTGAATGTACCCCAGCATCTAAATCCTCTTACTTTTCATTTGATAAATGGATACTTTATGGGCACTTACCCTGAATGACTTTCTTTTCTTTTGGTGGATCAAGTAATCAAGTGCTTTGATTTCTGGACAACATTTTATACTGTTTGACTGTAGGAGAATATAACTGTTCGTATAAGATGTGGAATAGGTGTCTTTGCTCTCCCTTCTTCTTTCTCTTCCTCCATCCCTTCTTCTTCCCTCCAACTAGACAGTTTCTTGAACCTGAATCTCAGAGGTGGCCAGTGGGAGGGAAGGACACCATGTATTCCCTTATAGCCTTGTAAACTTTTAGCCTATCTTCTTATAGCATCTCATTCCAGAACATTAAAGTTTAATATTTGTGATTTTTTTCAAATAGTCTTTAATATAGAGAAGAATAAGCCCTATATAAATTAGCCCAATTTTGAGGGTAATTTAAATTTTTACTTCATTGATTTTGTCCATTAAATGAATAATGCAGGGAACTACTATGGACAGTGAACCAACAACACATATCTTTGAAATCCTTTGAAAGATTTGGCTTTCAAAGTAACAATTCTAAACATTGTTTCAATAACTGACTATAAAAGTGATAGAGTAATGTACCAGTTCTCCCAAATTCAACTGTGTATGGCTGTTGGTAGATTGAGACATTTAAAGTTTTGAAACTTTAGAACTAAGAGTCTAAGTTGATACTATGTCTCTTACATCATCCCTTCTATATATAGTGTTTACTCCTTTATATAAGCATGCATGCATGCATTTATTCATTCATATTCCCAGCAAAGAC